CACACACACACACACACACACACACACATACACATACAGTTATATCATAATAGTATTAACTAAACCAATGATGAGAAATAATTTATCGATATTTGAACATTTCTTGTTGGTCATTTAATATCATTTTATTTAAATCGTTTAATTAAAATTACAAAAATATGTAATTTTTTATCAGTATATGTATATATAATTAATGTAATATATCATTGAATAGATTATTGGACAGGTAACTAATCAGTATGAAAATTATTCACTACAACATCATATTATTGAACAGATTAGATAAAAAAAATTGAACAGATTAGATAAAAAATTAATAAGAGAAATTTTTATAAAACCACAATGTAATGAAGGAAATGCAATGCGACAAGAAATTATTAAAAAAAAAAAAAATATTTTTTGGATAGAATGATGACAAAATAAGTGACTGCAGATGAAAAAATTTTTAGATGATAACATAAATTATTCTTTTTTTCTATTTTTCTTGTTTTTTATTTTTTAATGTTATCATTTTTAATGATAATCTGATTAATGGGAAATATATTATTTGTATAATTTAATGATAATACTTTTCTTTTTTCATCGATTTTTATCGTTTAATGACAAGTTAATACTTTCTAAGCATTTGTATGAATAACGAACGAATCTCCGATTTTTAAATACCGACATCTATTCGTAGCGATCACCCCGTGTTTAATGATTGATAGCGATCACCCCATGTTTGATTATTGGTAGAGATCATTCCGTGTTTAATTTAATTATTAATAGCGATCACCCCGTGTTTAATTATCGGTGGTGATCTCGCGGTGTTTAATTATTGGAACAAAAAACCATGCAAGGAAGTATATAATTAAAGGGAAAATATATTAAGTTACTAATTGGTTTATTTAATAAGTCTTTCATCTTTTTATGCATACATTTACAAATATTCTTTTTTCAAATTAATGTTTTCCACTTCTTAAATAAATGTCTTCAAAGCTTTACATTTATAAATCTATTTTGCATTTTAATTGTATATTAATTTTTTTCTGTTCTCGGTTTATTCGTTTTTTTATTTCATATTTGCGGAAAATTACCTTAAAAAAAGGAAACGTATTATTCAATTTAATAAGACAAAGCTGAATTTTAATTTGTATTGTATAATTTAAACTTAATTACTCTTGAATTTTTTGACAATAGCATTAAACGGAATGAAACAAGAAATGGATTTCATTCCGTATCTGTTCATTTTCATACCACGTAGTTGTGCAATGAAATGGTTTCAAAAAATCTAATACAGAATAATCAGTATCAGTTAATTGAAATGAATTCAAATAGGAAATAAAAGATATTTTTAAAACTTCTGAGTTATGCATTTTTTAAATTGCTTTTTCCCTTTTCCGACAAAAATTCAAATGGCAATTTTTGCCAAGAAAATATACTTCCTATATCTTATTCTTATTATTTGATACATTAGAATTGATATATGAGTTTTAATTTTTTTTTTTTTGTCAAATCAATTTACAATTTAAATGCTAACTAAACAAGAAAAATCTTAGAAAAAACACATTTTCAGTTAAAATATTTTTTTTTTTTTTGTTTTAAATGAATATCTCAATTTTAATTTTTTTTTTCTTTTTTGCGATTTACAAAATATTTCTAACAAATAGTGAATGAGAAAATACAAAAGAGAGAGAGAGAGAGAGGGGAAGAAAGAGAGAGAGAGAAAGATAGAGATGGAGAAATCTAATGCAAACAGTATTGATAAAACATTAACTAACGACAGCAAGAATGACATTGAAGTGATGATACGACGATATATAGCACAAATCGGGAACGGAACTTGTTCTCGTCCTTTCTATCCACTTACATTCACCTTTTTTCTTCATCCCTCCTTCCTTCCTCCTTTCTTTCCCTCTCTTCTTCTCATTCATCCTCCGATCATTTTTACCTCCTTATTCTTTTTACCTTTAACTTTCGTAGAAATTAAGAAATATTTTTAAAAAAAAAAAATTTTATGCTAACATTTTAACTTTCTCATCATAACATCCATCATTACCAACGTTTATGATTGATTCTCATTCATTTATAATTCATTTTCCGTATCATTTATCAATTTGAATTTATTGATCGTTGCACTCCTTCTTTCCGGATCATTTCTGAACTGAATTTATTGTTTGCAGCATTTTCTTTCCGGATCATTTGTTTATTGAACTTATTGATCACTGCATTCCCTTTTTTTCTGGATCATTTTTTCATTGAATTTATTGATCATCGCATTCCTTCTTTCTCGATCATTTGTTAGCTAATTTTTGATCGCTTCATTTCTTCTTTCCGGATCACATATGATGCAATAATATAAAATATTTTTTCCTAAATCAACCCATTATCGATAAATTTCTAAAAGGATTTTCTACTGTTTGTTTTGTCATTTATTAAGCTCAAAACACTTTTTTTTAATCATCATTTTCGCTTGCAAATCGCGCACTTTTTATATTAAATTATACTCTTTGCTTAAATGCATTTTCCTTCTAAAATCTCATTTTAAACTGATATATTACATTATAACGTATTTCATTTCATACGTTTTCGTCTTAAAATTTGATTTAAATTTGAATTGCTATTAGTTAAGCAAAAGAAAAAAGAGTTACAAATGTGCATATACTTATATCTTATCGCTTCAAGCCACAAACATGCTTATCATTTTCTTTTCTTTAAATAGACAATAAAAGTATCCAAATTTTTTAATCGAATATGAACAAATAATTTGTTATTTTTTAATTTTTCCTCATTTTATTTTGTTCAATGTTTATTTTCCTGACCATTTGATATATATTTGATTTGTTAATTTCAGAATTTTTATACTTACTATTTGAATTAATACCGAAAATAAATGCCTCGCGTGGCAATGTTACTTTAACAAATCACTATTATCGAAACGATTATGGCTAAATGTTTGTTTGTTTGTTTGTTTGTTTTGTTAAAAAAATTAAATTTTGCAAGTTTATTTTGCAAAAAAAGGAAGGAAAAAAGTAACTAAAAGAAATAAATAGTTCATATGAATGAAATTAAAAGAGAATAATTATTACCTGATTATATGAATAAAATTATTGAAAAAAAAATTATTGTATTGCAAATTTACAGATGGCTTTAAATGGTGGCATTTTTTCAATCGACAAAAATTAATGAAACCAAAGAATAGGAACAATCGAGAAGAAGAATGTCGTAATAATTTGGTTGAATCATTTGTAGAGCATCATTTAACCGTTGAACAAATTAAAGACATTTATATCGATTCAAATATTAATTCCCAATATCCGGAACGAAGTGATGGATTAAACTCCATTGAAGCACGGTTAGAAAGAAAATTGCATTTTTTAATAATTATGATTTCATACCGCTTTCTTTTTTTAATTTTCGTACACTTCAAGTGATACTTTTTTTAAAAAAAAAAAGAGAAAAAGGACAAGAAAGGAATTGTTGTAATATGAAATCACAATTATTAGAAAATAATCATTCATCAATTATAACAGTTAACATCATTCAATGATTAATTGTGTTTTGAAATTTAAAAAACGGAAGTAAAATAGCTGTAGCTTAGGATACTTTTCATTTTTCTTTCTTTTTGTATTCATAGAAATAAGAAGAAATTTCGAATTTTTTTTTCAATTTTTTCTCACTTTTTGTTTATTACTTTTTAAATCTATTTTGTATATTTAAAAATCCTGAAACCTAAAGGTATATTTAAATTTTGAACGATATAATAACGATGAAAAATAAATTGTTGTTGTATGTTTTAGACTTAAATTGGTGTTGCTCTTTTTTAATAATTTATAAATGAAATTTGAAATGAATACTATTGGATAATGCTATCAGCTATCAAATGGTTTATGTCGTCATGTTCAATGATGACACGCTGGAAAGAAATTAAAATCGCAATAATATAGCATTGTTTTATAAATTAATCCTGCCATTCAAGTTATGCAATTTTAAGCAAACGTTTACGTGATGGTGGCGCTAATATCATCGAATGTCCACGTAAAATCAATAATGTGAAATTATTCTTACGTCAATTTCTGTATCGATTATGGTTGCTACTTCTTGGTAAGTAATTGCATAAAATAATTTACATATTAGAATTTTTGAAAACGATTCAAAAAATGCTGCAATCTTTATTGCAATTAAAATTATATAAATAATTTCCAAATTTATTTGTTTTAAAAAGATTTAAACAAACAATTTAAAAAAAAAGGAAGTTGTGCAAGTCTAAAAAATTTTTTTCTTCAATTTTAAATATATTATTAAATGAAAATGTTTTCTTTTTCCATCCACTTCTGTCATTTTTGTTCCCCTGAACAAGTAATTTATTTATGAAAAAAAAATTCGTTGTTATTTCAACTGTCATTTAATTATTGACAAATTAATATTGTTGTACAGCATTCAAGTAGAATTTCTTTCTTTTTCAATTTTTAAATGATTGAATTTCATTGATTTTTGAGCAGTTCTATTTTGAATTGAAAAAAAAAAGAACAAAAAATGAAGCGTTGATGATTGCTGCATGAAATGTTATTGTTGAAATTTTAGGAAAGAAACTTTTGCTAATAAACGAGTGAATTGTTCTTACATTTAATTTATGAAAAAAAAGAAAGAACTAACGATTAATTAATACATACATGCAAAATGATAATTAAATAATTAAGCATTGAAATATTCAAGCAATTTCAAAAACAAGTAGGCAAATTAATATTTTTTACGTCATTTCGAATATTATTAAATTGTAAAATTGTTTGATCACTTCATTTGCATACGTTGTCCATCTAGGAAAAAATCAATACTAACCGATGAAAGGCATTTAATGAAGTATATGGTTGATTAAAAATTAAAAAGTTAATAAAGTGCGGTATTTGCCGTACATCATAAAAATAAATTTATATTTTGTTCACTTATATTTATTTTGTTCATGCTTTATTTTGATTTTATAACATTTCACTTGTCACAAAAGATTTGTTCATGTTTAAATTCATTTTTGTTCCTGTTAAATTTATTTCTGCCACATTTTTATAATGTTAACAAATATATATTTATGAAACTAAATAGTTATTATCACGTTATCTCTGTTTACTTGTTAGCCTTTTTGTTTACTTCTCATTTATCTCGTCTACTTCCTCATTTGTCTTGTTTCCTTCCTCATTTGTCTTGTTCACTTCTCATTTATCTTATTTACTTTACATTTCCATCTACATTGTTCACTATCACTATTTATTTCTCTTTTCAATTATCAATTTACTTAGTTAATTTGTATACTTTTTTTTCAACATATTGTGATAATTTGCATACTTTTATTTTTCATCAACATATTATGATGTACAGCAAATATGTACGGTGAAATTTGAATAATGGCAATTTTTTTTTGTACATTCAAAAAAGAAAAAAGATTCATTGCTAACTGTTGTCATTATCGTTATCAATATTATCAGTTATAGTAATCAGATAACGACTATATTTATTTGAGAATAGTTATCATTGTATATTCGTGGCATCATTTTAATATTGATATGATACCATAATTCTACTACTGCTAATATTATTGCTATTTTTTTCCCATGATAATTTTATTTTTTAACAGTAAATAATAGTGAATTAATTTATACCATTAAAATTGTATTAATTAATTTCAGGTGCTGCAATGCTCAGTTTAGCAACTTATGTAATTCATTTGATGCATGGTAATAACGAACCTGTTAATATTTATTGTGCATTAATTCTTATCTTAATTGTCACTCTCATGTGTTTTGTGACATTTTATCAAGAGAAACAAACACTTCAAGTGAGTTATTTGCTTAATTAATTTATTTCTTATTATTAATTAATTAATTAATTTTGTCTAACATTTTGATGACAGTTTTATTAATAATAAATGAGTACAAATGTAATAATATAAGTATGCTCAAAAATTGATGATCACGTGATATCATTTTAATTAATTGTTTATGCATACAATTTTTCTCTTTTGATTAATTGTTATCATTTTGCTTATTCTTATAATAGTTTTATAATATAAAAAATGGCAAAATTTAAAATTA